AGAAAAATATTCATTAAACAAGATAGTTTGCCAATTATTTATTTTAAAAAAATATTATATGTATATTTTATAAATATTACTAACTACATTATCGATTCGATACGTTTATTCATTATTTGAGATTGGATTTACCCCGTTCAGATTTATGATATAACTTTTACACTAGATTTCAACCACATTTGTTAAAGATTTAACTTAATGTTAATTATATTTAACAATTAGTTAGTGAAAATTGGGTTTTATCGAGATTTGTTAGCGTTAATACGTTGTTAAAACGTTTGTTAATTTAATCAGCCAAAATCAGCTTGTTAAATCCGAATTCAAGCGACTGTGGTGCGATCTACCTGAGATGCAAAATATTCCATCGATGCCCGGAAAAAACAATTGTGACTACGGACCATAGTCATAGAGGGGAGGTTGTAAATTAATGATAAGGATCGTTTAAGGAGTTTTCACGTCTGTCATTGTATAGAAGGAGATTCTTAAACTAATATGCTCTAAAGTAATTTGCTAGATACTATTTAAGGCTTATGAACGAATGATAGGAAATCGACATAGAATGATGGCAAAAATATTTATTATGTTTTAAGTAAAGATGACTTCCTCAATTTAAATTTGAAACTAATTATTCTTTGTTTAAAAAATTTTAAATATTTATCCTATATCTTTTTTTTTTGTTTGTATATTATGTTACGAATCAGGAATACCCTCTATTTTTATTTTACCTAGCTTGGTATATGAGATTCACAGCAATTTATCAAGTAGATTTTATGCTTTGTTATTTACTTTTAATAGGCTCATATTCGTTAAAGTAGCACATGTTTTTATCATCGTAAAGAAATATAAAAAAATATGATTTTTTATACGAAAATGTTGTGTTTATCTGCGATTTGGGTCAAAGCTTTAACCAAATCTAATCGGAGTACTACATGCATATTTTATTGTATCTACTAAACGTATTGTAATTAACGACTGAGTCAACTGTTGTTTAATGTACAAATGGGAAAAACACGTAAATAGACCATTAACTACACCATACATAATTTGTAAATTGAATATTAAGCAACCAGTTTGCTTACGTACCCACTATATATATAATACCAAACAACTTTATTAAAACAATCGCATTGTAGTTAACCGTCTATTCCACCAATTAAAAAAATATCCTGAAATGTAATCTAAGATGTTAATTTAAAATTCTAATTCATCAAATTTATAATTATTAAAGTGTGCAAAACTTTTTGAAATAACAAATTTTTAGTTTCAAACTTGTTAGTTGTTATAAGGATAATGATCAATATTGCAAAAGTAATTTAAATCATTGTTATTGATTTTATATAACATTTTTATCATAATTAAGATTGATTTTATTTACTTTACTCATTAATCATCTGGAAATAAATATAATTATAATTCAGGTAATTTTTTTATTACGGATTATTCAATATCTCACTGGGATTAATTAATAATTTATTTTATTTTCTTCATATAATGTGACCTTAATTTTTCACAAATTGTTATGTTATAACCCTCTTTCAAACTACTCATTTTAATATCGACTTTTGAATCATGAATAAAAATGTATACATCCCATTAGTTTTTTTAATTGAGAATAATGTACTAAATATGTTGAATGGTCGATAACCAGTCTTACATCACTATTTTTGAAGTAATTGATGTTTCACGCGTTTTACATTACTGATTTTTTTAATAGGTTTTACTATTTTACATGTTTAATTGAATATATAAAAAATATTATTTAACATTAATTTTTGTTAATTAGGTCCTTCAATTTAATAATATAAATTATTAAGTCTATACTTTTATAAAAATATATCAAATGCAACAAGTTTCAAACTTGTTAGTTATTTTAAGAATAATAATTAGAGTTAGGTGTATCGTTATAACTTGATTTAAAAAAAAACATTATAAACCCTTCCCCCTAGAACGGTTAGATACTTTTTCTTTATCAAATTGTACTTATGGTCTAGAAATCAGAATGGAAATATTTCTAAAAAAATGCTATAACATATTCCATTATTTCAAAAATCTGTAACTAAACTTTTTTAATTACTAATGTAAAATATGGCAAAAAATATGGGAAAACATGATTGCAACAATTATTTATGTTATTATACGGTGTACAAATATGTTGTTACACGGATTTCTTTTCAACAGATATAAAAAAAAAAATTATTATGTCTAAAAACAGCAACACAATTGTGACCTCATTTCGGCAAAGTTTTCGATTTCGAGAAAAACGCAAAAATATGTGGAATAATATTCCTATTCGCTACTTCAACAAGCAATAATAGTGTCATTTTTTATTTAAATACTATTTACAATCTGTGCTACGAAGCATAATTAACAAATAGTGTAATAATTATATATTTATACAGAGAAAAAAAAACGGTGCTTTAATATGTGGAGGGTGGGTTAGGTTAGGTTAGGTTATTGGTGGCAATCCAGTGATAGAGCACAACGTGATACTATTTTTTTAGCTATAAAGATATGTAAGGTCTTAAGTTGTTCAAAAATAAATCGAGAATTAAAATATAGCACGAAATAAATATTGGAAAATTTGACAAGAAACCTCTTTTTGCTTTCCGCATTAATAATTATAGAGAGACTTTCAACTCTAATAATATGTACCCTATACCTAAAAATTAAATTTTAAGCACGTATTGCCTATACAATTATACAATTATACAACCTTATTTTAAAATATCGGTATTTTTTATTCTTAGTAACGATTGGATTTGTTTTATAACTACGCTGAATGATTTTGAACAAGATAAACTTTAAACGATTTTATGAGAATTTTTGAAATTACATTTATTACAACGAGAGTCAAGATTTGTTATAATGTCCTGCAAACTAGTATCTCTAATATCATAACTATAATTCACTATCTCTATTAATTCACCTCCATACTACTCAGGGCCGGTGCTAAGAAATATGCAAGGGGGGGTGTCAAAATGAAGATGCCGACTTTAAAATTTTAATTGCCGGCTAAAATATTTGGGTACTTTCGTAAATATTTTATGACATTTTGTGACTTGATTTTTAAAATGTTTTTGGAGCATAGAAATATTTTAGGCAGCTAACAAATTTATTTATTACTTCATTTTCAGTTCTCAGTCACCAATACTAAAACAATTTGAGCCCTACTTTAAAAGCATTATTTTAAAAATGTTTGAATTTATTTAACATAATTATAACGTATTGCAGTTGAAACTGCAATTTAACCGAGATATAATCCAAATAGCCTTATTTTAAATAATTTTATAAAAAATAATGAAATTGTATTCAAAATTATTATTAAAATCTTTGAAATAAAAACAAAAGTGTATTTTTTTATGAGTTATTATCTTAATACAATTTTATTTATATTTTAGTTAGGTACACTATTTAAAAATAATGCTCATGTCTACTCCCTGCTCGCTATATATATAGTATAGTAGGATATTATAGTAGGTAATATCCCACCGCAACGATAGTAATAAAGAAGAAACAAGACATAGTGAAGTAGTACCAAGGAACTCTCATAGGCCTTAAAAATCTGGCTTAATGATTTATTCTAAAGTCGTATCCATCTCATACCTTTTGTTCAAAATTTACTGGGGCAGGCTCAAAAGGATTGTTAGCAGCTCCTTGGTGTTTAATATTCATTCTCTAACCATATATATATATATATATATATGGTTAGAGTATAATGTTAATGGTTAATGGTTAATGAATATATTAGATTACACACATTTATAACCAATACTTATTATTTTACACGCGCACACGGGACAAGCAAAAATAAAACTGTTAACTCTTTGCCTGCAGACTTAATACTATGGGTTATGTGATATGTCTAAAACAGAAGAGTAGGTTTTTTTTTATAGTAGGGAATCTTTTAGAATTTTAAAACTAAAATAAAAATATATTCTTGTAGAGGGATAGAATGTTTGTTTACAATAGACCAATAGGTCCCATGGCCGAACATCGTTTGATATAATAATATACACCACAGTTATTATAACCAAATAATAATACTTCTGCTAAAATCGGGAATAACCGAAAATGCATTGTTTTTTTTTTACTAAAAACTAAAATTATATTTTCGTATGGTCGTCCGTATGCCGACTATTCACTATTCGTCGCTAGATTCCAATAAAAATTATGTACCTACCTACTTTTATAAAATAAAAATAATAAATATGTTATTTGTATAATTTTATGGGGGATATAATATTTACCGACTTTTTGTTCGGAATGTGCCGACTAGATTACTTGAGTTTTCCGAGTGGGGGGGTGTCAAACCCCCCCACACCCCCCTCTAAGTCCTGCCCTGATACTACTCCACAATCCCTCCATAATTCTTAATGACGTCAGCACAGTGAGACAAAACGTGACGGACAAATTTTAAGAATAAGATTGCCAAAAGACATATCCATGACTAAAAACAACAACAGAATAACTGTCTTAAAAATATTTTATTTGTTTTAATTATTTGATGTGTACTCGTACTATATCCGTCGCTTTTCCTATAGTTTTTAGGAAAATGGTATGCCATTTCGTATGTACTCGATGCTTAGCATATGATTTTCACACACAGTTGATCACAAATGTGACAGATTATTTAGCTAATTCCAATTACGACTATATGTTTGGATCATTGGAAGCCAAATCAAGTTTACCATCCAAAATGACTTATACCGGTCTTAATATTGATTATCCAAGTACGTGAAATTTGAAAATTTAATTGTTAAAATTCGCATACTTGAAAAACTTTTCAACACACTTTTGTATAAAAAATATAGATATTAAAAATTACTACCAATATATTTTAACCATTCGTGAGAATAAATCACACAACTTAAACATTTTAATATATTTGTTTTATTCATCATGATTTGACAGATTTCTATAAATATTTTTGTGAATTCGTACATCGTGATGCTCCCGATGTACCAACAATTCCTTATTATTAAAAATTAATGATTTAAGAGTAGTATGTTTTGGCCGTATCGAATCTTGTTATCATAGTCTTGTTATCACAGTCTTGTTATCATAGTCTTGTTATCACAGTCTTGTTATCACAGTCTTGTTATCACAGTCTTGTTATCACAGTCTTGTTATCACAGTCTTGTTATCACGAACTTGTTATCACGAACCTGTTATCACAGCCTTGTTATCACAGTCTTGTTATCACAGTCTTGTTATCACAGTCTTGTTATCACAGTTTTGTTATCACAGTCTTGTTATCACGAACCTGTTATCACAGTCTTGTTATCACAGTCTTGTTATCACAGTCTTGTTATCACAGTCTTGTTATCACGAACTTGGTATCACGATCTTGGTATCACGAACTTGTTATCACGATCTTGTTATCACGAACCTGTTATCACGATCTTGGTATCACGCTGTTATCACGCATGTGGCAGGTCACTACTGTGTCCGTCGAGCGGTGACGCTATACTAGCGCGGTTCCGCTGGTATCACTACTGGTATCACATGCGCGCGCGCGCGCACACACACACACACACACACACACACACACACACACACACACTGGCGACACTAAGTGAACACGGTGACGGAACCGCGCTAGTATAGCATCAACGCTCGACGGAAACAGTAGTGCACTGTCACAGCGACAATGGGCGGAAAGGGGAAAGGTATACGCATGAGCAGCAGCAGCAGCAGCAGCAGCAGACGTAAGCGGACGTGTGAAGAACCGAAAACGAAACTCTTGGCGGTCAAAGCGATTACGATAAGTTTTAAGGAGAGAAAATTCTTACACATAGGATGCGCGTGGACGGAGACGGGATATGCTCCGGCAGCGATGATTGTGTGTTCCAATGGATTTATGACCTTGAGCTTAAATCAAATCGTCGGACTGGTAACGGGTATTAATGATCTCGCGCGGTTCGTGGGCAGCAATCAACGCGCGGCGTTCCACGTACAACCGCCGGACGGCATTATCATTAAAAAAACCAGATGTTTTTCAAAGTCATACCTGATCATCAACGACGCGCACACCCGCCTTACGCTGACCGAAGAAAATTTGTTAACGTTGGAGTGGAATCGCGAATCAATCGTACGGGCACTTGATGATAACGCGAAAATATGTACAGCCCTGACGGAGCAATACGGCACGATGAAGAATGCGATGACGGTGGAAGTGATAAATCGATACGCGACAATGTCGGTCGATGAGGTGTACACCGCAATGATGAATCATCCTGTACACGGATTCCCGCCGCGAGAACCAAGTTATTACAAAGAAATCGCGGTCATAGAGTACAAACGGCTGTGCGACGAAATATGGGGAGAAAATGTTAATACGATGATGATGACGTCTAACTCACAATGGAATTTAGCAGAGTTACTTGACGGTTACACAGATAAGTAAGTAAAAAAAAAAAAAAAACAAAAAAAATTAACCTATTGATTATATTGTAGTATATATAGTAATTATAACAGGAACGACGTGGTGGAGGAGGAGGAGAAGACGAGTACTACACCAGTAATCAAGTCAGACGGTGTGAGCATTGCTTCACCACCACCACCACCACCACCACCGTGCGATAGTGTGGATGACCTGACGGTCGAAACCTGATAAGGGTATTTCCCGTTAGGCCGTGTACAATGATAACACAAAGAAAATGGAGGGACGAAATAACCACACACCATATATAAACGAACACGCTGAACCATTTAATCACATTCACACGCATACAACAAAAACAAAATGCATTACAGATATACACCACCATCGCCGCCAAATTCGCCGACACCGTTTAGTACCAATTGGGTGCAGAACGTCGACGACGATGATGACGACGACGACGGGTCGCCAGTGATAATACCGATGAGCGTAAGTCGATTTTATATTAAGGGAATAATTATATATATAAGAAGCGTATAGTAAAAAAAAAAAAATGTGAAACAGGTGGTAGACGCTGCAGCAGCGGAAGCGGTGAGTCATATACAGCTGCGAATAGAGAGGGTGTTCTCGCTGACCGACGTAGTGGGTAAGTACATCAACCTTGGTGTGTGTGTGTATAAAACTAAATTGACCAATTACATTATCACCAGATCTAACGATGTCTTCGGAGGAGGAGGAGTGCAGTTCGTCATCCACGTCGAGTGTGATGGAGCTACCCGTCAGCGACACGGAGAGCACAGTCGAAGAAGAGACTGAAAGTAGTAGTGCCGACGATGATGACGACACTGACTACGACGACGACGAAGACGACGACGACGACGAAGAAGAAGAAGAAGAAAATGACGACGACGACGCTAGCAGTAACAGCACTAAACGACGGGCGGACGGCCCTGTGCTTCGAGGGCATATAAATAAAAAAAAAAAATAAAAATTTAACAACGAAGTATGTTTTATATGACTAATAATATGTTTGTTATATCAACTTGACGTACGATAAAAATAAATGACTGTGTGTGTAATATACCTAAAAAAAAAACTGTGTATTCATTTTGTATGTTACCCGTCCAATCAATGGTTAAAAGAAAATGGATGATAACTGAGAGCAAAGAAATGAAAGGGAAAAAAAAAAAAAAAATGTTTTAATGCAATGATTATTTATTTTTAAAAAAAAAACACATACAATCATAAAGGTATATATTAAATTAAAAAAAAAACAGGTATTGTTATATCAATTGGTATTACAAAATTTTGTGCACTTCGCTAGTCAAAGCGTTATATTCAAAAATTTTATCGTGTACGATTAAACAATAAGCAGCGGTGCTATCAGCCACGTTGCTAGCCGTTTCAAAATCTATACGTAAGTCGATCGGCGCGTTCTTAACAAAATCATTCTGTTTCGAACAATCTACAACGACGATGGGGGATGTTGACTTAAACTCTGCTGCGGTGAACAACGGGTCTCCGACCGGAACGCCGTAATACGATTCTTGAAAACTCGCATACATGTTGTATAAAAACGAAAATTTATCACCGGCATAATCGATTTTTAACGTATCGTACGGATACGATTCAGAGTTGAGATATACTTTCAACGTGGTCAACCCGCATCCGTCGAACTGACTGGTGTTCGTCGCGAGTTTATTTTTCCGATCGGTCTGCAAGGCTACTATCACGTATCGCGGCTTTTCCGTGTGCGTGCTCGTCTTAACCGCCCAGGAATGTTTGTTCGACCGGGGGAGCGACGGATAAGAGAATAGCTCCCAGCTACGGAATGCGATGGATAACGGTTTTTTCGCGTCCAACGCTTTGAGCAACTGCAATCTAACAGAATCGTTTACATTGACGTGCGGCACTCTCCACGTAACGTGATCCAACACAACGCTTGCGGCTGCGGCGTTCGTTTGAAGAGCATCATTGTCGGTGCTCGCACGGTGCAAAACGAGTTCTTGTCGAGCGTTAATTATGAGTTTTCTGTGATCTTCACAAAATCCCAAGATCAACCTGAGCGGAATAACGACATCAAACTTTTTTGTTGTGTTCGCCGACCAACCAGCGTTCGCGTACCGCCCGTGTACAGCCTTCTGCATCGTTACGTACCCCTTGAGCGTGCTAGCAACGCCTGGTTGTCTCACCCGATCGATTTCGACTGAATTCAGCTCATAGCGAATCTCGTCGAACAAAAACATCAATCCGTTGGTGACGATGGACACGTCAGATGTGTCAGTAGCCGGGGTGACGACAACGGATCCCTGCAGACATAGCAGTGATTCGCTAGGGAGTGTGTAGAGGTCCTGGTGTTGAATCGCGATGCGGATCTCATCGTTGTTCGTTAGACTGTTGCTGGAGAACGGTTGATAAGTGTGAAACTCGTATTTAGTGATGCGATCGTCGAATTCGACTCGCCGAGTGATGTCCAAAACGTCGATGTCCATTGACGGTGGTTTGATTCGCGAGTTTGTAGCCGAGCGCCGATAACGTTTGCAAGCTCTGCCGTGTTAACCGGGATCGTGCCGACGGCTGAATGTACCGAACCGGACGCGCGCGTACGCTTTTAAACACCAACCCCATCGCGCACGTGTAAACGTACTGTGATTGGTTCACCGCGGAAGTCGACCAGCTTCGAGTTCTGATCGGTAATCGTGACTCGCACGCGGTCGAGACGATCCGTCGCTATTGGATAATAAATCAGATTGCGCGGTGATTCTGCGATCTGAAACCCGGGCGGGACGGATGGGAAAAAGTCATAGATCGCGCGACTACGAACACCGTTGACGAATGCGCCTGCCGCGACGTTGCATGTGATTCTTATACACGTAAGCGGATCGATGGTGATCAGACGTCTGGATCGGTGCAAAGTGTTCGCCGGCAGCTCGTCCCGCTCAAACCCCAATAGGGGGCCGACGCTGTTGGGGGCCGCGAAGCTGATGTCGCGATTGCACAGGAGTTCCGATTCAAACGTGTTGACGTTGGGATGAAGCGCGAACCGGTATTCGGGATTTAGGTTTTCGACTAGTGACTTGAGCACGCGAGCCAAGGTGGTCACCTCGTACGACCCGATGGGTACCACGACGTCGTCATAGACATCGGCTGGTAACGGCGACGGAGCGTCCGGTTTGATCAGCATTGAACCGACACCGGAGGCGACAGTGTCATCGTACATATCGATGTTGACACCGCGTTTTTGAACACTTGGCAACCGCCGTACGCGCAAAGTGTTGTTAGACGCGTCGATGTTGGGCCGGGAATTGCACGCTATGACGTCGAGCAACGCGATCTCCGCGCCGGTCCGCAACGGGATAGGGGGAAAAAACGTGCTGTCCAGCTCGCTTGCGGTACCATGAAAGGTTAACGTGAACGAGCGGTGTGCGGACGGCATTGAGCGTACAGAAACTTGAGACATAGCTGACCGCAAACGGATGTTGCGTATCGTTGCACACGGTCGTAGTTATAGTGGACGATACAACCGCTGAAATAACGCTGAAGTTCTAGCGGCGGCGGGAGGTTGCCGAACGGATCGAAAAACAAGACGGTATCGTTGCGCTTGTGGTAACAGCACCAGTGTGTACCACTTCCGGTAGAGACGTCAAGATTAACGACGCCGCACTCAAACCGCAAGGGTGTAGCCGGTAACGTGTCGCGCATAAACACACCGCGGAAATGAGATATGCCCAACTTTGTCGCGTAATTTATAATATCCACGTCGCTCAGCGCCCGCGATCTGGGCAGCGTGGTTATCAGTTTTTTGGCTGATACGGTTTGAGGTAGAATCCGGATCCGTTTCGCTTGCGGTGCAACAAATATCCACTCCCGATTTTCACCGGGGCTTTCGCGTTTTTGTTATTGCGGATGTCGTTAACCGCACGCACGATTCCCGACGCACCGCCGAGCAGTGAGCCGATCGCTGACAGGGCTGAGAGAAAAGGCACAAGCGCGAACGCGCCGCCGATTTTCGGCACGGCCAACGTGCGCGGTCGGAGAACCGGTTTTCCTCTGGCTTTCCGACGTACCTGGGTGACGGCAGATAACGCCTTCCGCGCTGCCGCAGCGACCGTTAACGGTTTCGCTTTGCGCATTGCTGCCCGTGCGACAGCTACGAGACTGCCGAAGCGCAGACCGCCTCCGGTTTTCGGTGCAGACCGCCGTCCCTTCCGTTTCCGTCGGTTGACACGAGGCATTACAGTAGTGAGCTTATAACCGCAGTGACGATAACCCGACCGATCTTGTTCGCTGACAACCTTCGTCGACGACGCACCGGTTACGTTTGGACACGGCAGTGGTCTGCGACACCGCCTTTATAATGATTTTCGAACCGCAAGAACACAAATTATCCGTTCTGCGGCTCGACGACGACGATCCAGCACCCGCTGACGGCCGCCACCGCCGTCACGGTCCCCTCCTACCCTCATCAATCAGATGTATTATCGCGGGGCCCAGTAACGTCGGCAAGACGACGGCGATGGTAAACCTTTTGACAGACGAAAACGGGCTGCGCTTCGAACACGTATACCTGTACACGAAGACACCTGATCAGCCAAAATATATAATGTTAAAGAAGGTGATGGAGGGAGTTGACGGCGCGCAAATGCACGTGTACACCGACGGGGATCATGTGCCTCCACCCGAACAAGTACAGACTAATTCGGTGTTTGTTTTTGACGATGTCGCATTTGAAAAACAAAGAAACATCGCAGAATACTTTTGCCGCGGACGCCACAACGGGATCGATAGCTTTTACCTGACGCAAACGTATGTCAAAGCGCCGAAGCACGGGATCCGGGACAACGCGTCGATGATAGTTTTGTACAAACAGGACGAGACTAACGTTCGGCACGTTTACCAGGAACACTGTCAATCCGATATGACGTTCGCTGACTTTAAATCCATGTGCTCGCAGTGTTGGAACACCGACCGGTACTCGTTTTTAACAATTGTCAAGGACTTCGATCTAAACGACGGACGTTATCGAATGGGTTTCGACGTGTATATAAAAAGGCGTGACGGCAACGCACCCGTTCAGTAAAATGTAACCATGGAATCGCCGGCTACGACGGAAGCAATTATACGTGCTAAGAAAAGCATAAAACGCAAACTAGACGAGCTGCGGCGCGGATTGACCGTGTCAACCGAATACGTGCGAACCCACGCGGCGCCGATCGTTGAACCGTTGACAAAATTAACAGCAGAGTTGTCGGCGCAGCGGACGCAAGCGCGTGACGCCCGGAGAGATGAGTCTAAAGGAGAAGAAAAAGCGGAAGAAGAATTCCGTATTACCGAAAGCAATCCGTCGTACGGCATTCATCTACAACCAGACGGAACATGGGTGATGGGTGATAAAGCAGTACGGTTCACCAAGAACCGCATAAAAGTGGGCACGTTAACCGAAACACCCTTCACGAAAGGACTCCAAGAATTGGTGTGCAGCTCCGTACCCCGCATGCAATTCATCACCGAAAGCGATCTGACCACGTATCGCAATTTTCTCATTCACACAGGATGTCATTTGATGTCGTCCGGTAGACCGAAAACGAACCGCGGATACAAGTATAAGTACATTATCAAACAGTTGTTCAACGAGAACGGACGCGACCTGACCGCAGTTCGCGCCGCGGCCAAGACGGGTGACGGGATTACGCGGTTGACGGTTACGGGGAAGGACAAAGAATATGTTTACTGGGACGACGCCAACGAAATAGTCGAACGTCTCGCTTTGCTCAGAGCCGCGCAAGCCGCGGGAAATACCGCCGTACACAACGAAATTATCGCGTGCGAGGAGGAACTCAGGGAAATAGGTGTGATCCGCTGACGATGATGACCGTTCGCGAGCACATCGCAACCGAACTACACAGACCGGCTATCCGACGGTTTGCCAGACGGGTCGTGCGCGCCGACGGCAAAGACGATTTGTGGCAAGCCGACCTCGTAGACATGAAAAAGTTTTCCAAAGTAAAAAAAAATAAAAATCACACGTTCCTCCTGACAGTTATAGACGTGTACACCAAGTACGGCTGGGCCGTACCGGTAAAAAATAAATCTGGTCCGACCGTGGCCGCTGCCCTCGAGCGCATAATCAAGACCAGCGGCAGACGATGTCGTCACCTGCACACGGATCGTGGTCTGGAATTTATCAATAAAGACACACGACGCGTGTACGAGCAGTATAATATACACCATTATCAATCGTATACGCCGCTGAAGGCGAGCGTTTGCGAACGTTGGAACAGAACGCTTAAAGAAAAGATGTGGAAAGCGTTTACAGCGCACGGCAACCACGAATGGGTGCCGCTCGTTGATGATCTAGTCGCCGCTTACAACACAACCGTGCACACGTCCATCCGAATGACGCCGACCGACTCGTCCCGCGAGCCCGGGAGAGTTGTTTTCTACCGGTTGCCGAAACCGGCGGCGGCGGCAGGCGGCAAACCTAAATTCGCCGTGGGCGATGCCGTACGCTTGAGCAAACATAAAACAGTATTTGATAAGGGTTATGCGCAAAATTGGTCAAACGAAATTTTCATCGTGTCCGGGTACGACGGTCAACGCCTACAGTTTATACAGTGCGCGATAAGAGCGGCGCGCCGGTTAACGGAACGTTCTACGCGCAAGAGATGAACCGGACGCGTTATCCCACCACGTATTTAATAGAAAAAATTGTTCGGAGGAAGGGGGACAAGCAGTTCGTGAAATACGTCGGGTTGCCCGTCAAGTATAATGCTTGGATCAACCGAACGGATAGTTCAGTTTGACAATATGCTTTCAGCGGTTATTGACGTACAGTGCGTGGTCGACTCGGACCTTCACATGGTCATCAAAGAAATATGTATAGCGGACGCACAAAGAGCTACACACGTGGTGCATTGGTTGGTTCAACATCCGCCTACCTTTCGACTGTCACCGCAAAGCACCAAAGTAAACGTTTGGTTGCAAACACACTTTCACGGTATCCGCTATACAGACGGTCACATACCGTATTCGGAGTTGGCGCGCGTTCTAGGAGCCGTTAACAACCACTACACTGCTGTGTACGTCAAAGGCATACAAAAGCGGAACCTCCTTCAACGATATCTACCGAAGTGCACGGTCATCGACCTGGAAGCTTACGGATGTCCCAAGTGCCGGATGCTCCAACAACAACAACACGTATGTCCATTTCACTCGGACCGCGCTCAAAACAAAACCTGTGCGAAGGCGCAATGTTTAGCCCTCCGCGTTTGGATGGATACCAACATTGGACGGTAACGTCAAATATTGTATCAAACTTATTATTAGTATTATACTATTATGTTTTATGTAATTATATATATATATATATATATATATTTGTTGTACGAATATGAAAATTAGTATTCATCTGGTTATACGTTGAATAAATAACTCATACTTTCATCGGTTTGTAATTTATTCCGCGGCACTGTGCACGCATGCCCAAACCTGATGTTTTCCTGTACACACACACACACACACACACACACACACACACACACACACACACACACACACACACTTAACAATGTATATTTTGTACTAGCAAATATTACCGGTAAAGGGAAATTATTTTAAAAAAAAAAGTCTTGGTTTAATTTGTATTAATATTATTACAAAAAAAAAAATAATAAATAAATAAATAAAAAAGAGCTAATTATGGATATTATACATTATTTGCAAAATAAAATATAAAAAGCCAGTCATGGGTAGCAAAAAACAATAAACAAAAAAAATTAAATATAAAAAGACAGTCATGGGTAACAATTATACATTATTTACAAAATAAAACAATAAAAAATAAAATATAAAAAGACAGTCATGGGTAGCAAAAAACAATAAAAAATAAAATATAAAGAAAAAGTCATGGGTAACAAAAAACAATAAAAAAATAAAATATAAGAAATTCAGTCATGGGTAGCAAAACCAATAAAACTAAAATATAAAAAGAGATAACAAAAACAATAAAAAAAACAAAATACAAAAAGTGACAAATCCATTGTCACCGCCGCCACCGGTTAGTCACTGTCCGGTTCATCGTCTGGGATGCGATAATGACCCCAGGGGAGTGTCAAAAACGAATTGGGTATTTGGTACCGTTTGTCGTCTTTGTACTCCATCGCTAGTTTCGTGCACATTTCGGTGGTCAGTCTATGGCGTTTCGACCGAAACGTACACGTCTGTCTCATTACCTTGTGGTTCGGGATAACGAGACAGTCGTAGTAGTCCTGGGGGGTGATCGTCTTTTCCACGACCGCGCGTTGAATGCCTTTCAGCTTTTTTTTATTCATCGACGGTTCGACCGAATCGGAGCAGTACGACTTGCTCCGAAGGCCGATGAATAATAGGACGATGTTCCCACCAGCATCGTCCTTCATCTTCCATAAAAGCATCTTGTTGACCAAAGGCATTCCGTATGGGTTGTCCGGACTGAAGTTGCTGGTATCGTACCTGGATAAAAAAAAGTAACCCCATTAGGTTGTGTGAATGTCCGGCAAAGCGGTCCGTACATACTTGTCGATATCAGCCTTCATGTCAGCATAAAAATCGTCGGTTTCAACCCAATAAAACAGACTGTCCGTGTCTCCATAGATGACACGCGCTTTAGAGCCATATTTGGGTACCATGTACCCGTAATGGAAGTCGTACAGAATGTATTTTGACAGCTCCAGCACGGCGAAACCGGCGTATGACGGCCGGTCGTACTTGATAACCGATTTGGTCATCTGCACGGCCGCCATGGACGGGGTAAAGATCGCCACGCTGTCGAACGTGGGTTTAGCTATCAAAACACCGGCTCCTAGTCTCTGCTTGACGTTTCTCCAGCGCGTGACAATGTGCACTTTGGTTCGTTTTTCAGGGTTCTCGAGCGCCTTGCCGTAAACCGAGTTCGACATCAGTTTTGGCAAGTTGCCCTCGAACTTCGTCCTGGTCGCAGCGCGCAATCTCGTGTTCGTTTCGATGAACGGACGGATCCAAGCACGCTGCCGAAACCGAAGTGCGCTATGGATTCTCCGGAGAACCACCCCGTTGGCAACGCCTTGCTGTAAGCACCTGTAATGAGTGACGTATCTGAAACAAAAAAAAAGTCGATAAATATTCCCGTTGCCAACGCACACACACACACATTTTCCCCGTTGTTCTTACTTCTCTTTATTGATCAGGTTGGCTATGAGCTTTGGCTGTTTGCCTCCGGGTGGAACCATGTTCTCCGGAAAGAACGGTAAATCTGCTAGGCGGTCGTGGACGGCGTGCGGATATTCGAGGTCTACCTCCACAAAATAGCCGAATTCCGCATCGTCCGAAACGGTGAGGGGGTCAAAAGTGGTGAGCTCCGCGGGGGTTAAGAAATGGAACTCACCAATCGGAAGGGGGAGGCTCATCGCACAACCGTAAAGGTTATTTTCGTCTAACTGCATGATGTACGATGGCTCTTCCGTCGGGTCATAGTCCTCCATATACTTATTGTTGGCCTTTGCATAATGTTGATTGCATTGGACCAACCCCCCACGGATGTTTTTCATGACGTATTGCACCTGATCGTGCTCCGTCATGAGCTCTATTTTAACCCCTGTCATTAGCTTCATCGCATCCCAGGCTAACGAAGGGGTCGTCAGATACGCAGCTGGATCGAGTCTGTAGTGCTCAAGGATAAACTTCCGGAACGTTTCAAACACGTCGGCCAGTAAGTACACGTCGCCGCACATGTATACGTCACTATACTGGCCTAGTGTTTGACAGTTAAACGTTGACCACACGGTCTGCGCGTGGTGGTATTGTACTGCTGTGATGGTGGACAACGTCAACTGACTCCGGAAGGCGTCGAGTGGAGGTAACGACGTTTCCTCAAGCACCTCTGCGCTCGTTACGTATTCGTAGGGGAAATACCCCTTCGTTTTCATTAACCGGAACTGTCCATCGTCCGGAAACCGGGTTCTCGTGTTCACCAGCTGAACATCGGTCAGCGACCGCGCGGCTTCGTCCAGCGACGAGGGCAGAAACCTGTTCAGAAATACAGGTATTGTAGATCAAAAGTACTGCTTTGTTTTTATCAGTCTTACCGGTATGAATCGATGAACCGCATGACGATTGTGTGACTCTCGCCGGTTTCGTCGTCCAACCGCAGAAACTTAGACAACGAAATATACTTTTCTTTAGTCTTGGCGATGACTTGGATTTGATTGGTGTCGTCGGCGAGGGCGGTGGTGAGAAAATGACTATCGTACCCCGAAAAATTGTGGAGCACGATCGGTACGTAGTTCGGTACTCGCAGTTTTAAGTTGCACGCGCTGTGAGCCGGGCCTCTGTATCGTCCGCTCAGGTGACAATGGTCCCGCACCTTGTCGGCCGGCGTCAACGGTTCGCGGCAGACGTAGCACGCGGTCGCCGCATCGTACACTGCCTGCTGCGCGGGGGTAAGGGGGGTCATATCCACCGGGGACAAATACCGTCGAGCTATGGCCTTCACGTCCCGTTCCAGCCGTTCCACAAACACCGACATGCAATCCGCGCCCCGATAGAGTTCAAACTTGTCAAGTGACGAATCGAAATCGCACTTGACAAAGTAAGCAAAACTACACGCTACGTGCTCCGCGATGTCGTACGTCCCACCGGCGGTCGGGGGTGGGACGATCGGTTTGAGGATAGCTTCGGTGTCTGCGTAAATACAGAATGGAACGGGAACGGTGTTTTTCCAATTGATGAATTCGACGATATTTTTATCGGGCGACGGGAGAACAACGCGACACCGCCGGCATTCGTGTTGATCCATCGCCGCTTGGGTCCTAAACGTGAGGAGACAACCGTCACACAGAAACGTTCTGTGTCCGCGTCTAGACAATTGTTTCCCCACGGCGCGTGACAAGTCTGTTATCAACACATAATGACCGTCGGTGCGGTTAACCGATGTGACGTACATCAGGTTCACGTGGCGCACCCGCTTTTCGTTCGTATAGTACAGCGGCCCTACGATCTTGTTCTCCTCCCAAGCGTACACGTTAACGCTGATCTCGTTGTCGATTTCGAATTTCGGGATGCACTTTAGCGCCACCGGCAACGAGATCCCGCGGGTTTGGAGGA